TATAACATATTCTATTTAGTTCATTTCAATTTTTTTATTTTTAATTTAATTTTAAACATAATTAATGAGATCTATTTTTCAATTTTAATAAACACTAAAGCAATATAAAAAAGCAATTATTTTAACTAAATCGAAATTGATGAGTGTATTTTTATAGTATTTTTAATATAGTTTTTATTAGAATTTTTAGTAGTTTTAATTACTTTTATTAGTTTTTATTTAGTTTTATTTATGTTTTCTCAAAGCACCATCTCACATTTCCAATGTCGGGTTCAAAAAGTCAATGTTCCTCTTTTTCCAATTCACAAATTCTTTTTTTATTGCTCTTCGAAACTTTTTGAGATGTATGCACTTGGTAAAGAATTAAGTACTACCCAAAAAATACAGATGTGCAAACCATTTAGTTTTAGTCAAAATCTGAAAATAAATCACACCACCAAAACCGCGAATCAAACACTTAAATAATTAAAACGTAGAACACTCCAATTCCCATTTCACCCTATACACAACTATTCCTATTCAGATTCCAATTTCAATTTTTTATTTTAATTTAATTTAACATATTAATTAATGAGATCTATTTTCCAATTTTAATAAAACACTAAAAGCAAAATATAAAAAAAAGCCCACATTATTAACTAAATCGGAAAAATATGATGAGTATGTATTTTAACCCTAATAGTATTTTTAATCCATAGTAAGTCTCATTATACCCTTAGAACTCTCTTTAGTATTAATATAGTTTTTATTAGAATTTTTAGTAGTTTTAATTACTTTTATTAGTTTTTATTTAGTTTTATTTATGTTTTTGTTCAAAGCTTCCTTGAAACGTAATTTGCTTGATCTTAAGGAAATTTGTAGGATTTTGGCACATGAAAAAGCAAAATAAGGCAAAACTCTCAGGCTCTAGCATGCTCTAGCCATGCAACTCAGCACGCCCGTGCTGGAATCAAGGAAAATCAGCGTGGAGACTCAGGCCCTAGCACGCTCGTGCCGCAAGAGAATATCAATCCAAAGGCGTGCTTACCTAAGCACGGCTTGTGCTGCATTCCATCATGGAGACTCAGAGCCTAGCACGCCCTAGCCGTGGGCGTGCCACAGATTCCTATCTGGATGTGCCCCTGAGCATGGCCTGTGCTGAACCATCCTTAGAACTCAGGCTCCGGCACGCCTAGACAGTGCCACACAGTATGCCCGTGCTGAATATTACGTTTTATTTTGAGCTGAGGACGCTAGCCAGTCCCTACCACTTGCAAGGGCCCACATAAGATGATTTCATGATGTGCAAATCAATTTCTAATCCTATTTAGGCGCATGTGAGAGTCCTAATTGAGAAGAAATTCAAAGCCTAAACAGTTTCCTATTTTCAAAAGATTTCTTACTTAATTGAAGACTCTATTTCCTAAACGAAGTCGGATTTTCTCTTAGGAAGTCTATATAAAGAGAGAACAGATTCATTGTAGAGATATATCTGGTTCTACCAATCTCCAAGACTTCAAGCAGTCAAGATTTGTGTCAGGATTCAAGGAAGTCGTCCACGTTATTTGTTGAGTCGTCCACGTTATTTGTTGACTAGTTTTTTAATCTCTAAACTCTAATCTTGTTTTTAACTTTTCATTACTTCAACATTGATTATGGAAATATTTTCAAGTTTAGTTGAGTTTTTATTTATTACTATGTTCCGAAGCTAAACCTCATACTAAGGGAATTTGATTTGTAACTTAATTTCTTCTCCAAATTATAATATTAGATTTATTTTTCTTTGGTTTCAAAGTAAATTTATTAAATTGATTTAATGGCTTCCGGCCAGAGTCTCTCCCCTTGATTGATTTATTTCAATTAATCACTATCGGGAGAAGGATTTTTGATATGAAGAAAGGTAATAAATTACATGAGAATAATGACTTGGATGCGAAAAGCTATATGGTTTGACCTTATAGGGGTTTTCATAAGTTTAAATGATCTTTTTCATAAGTTAATGATCTTAAGTTATGAATTCACAAAACAAACCATTAACTTAATGATTTAATACATGTTTGATTACGCTATTGGAAGATAGGTAATTAGACCGGGTTAAAATAGTTAACAATACATCGGGAGAGTTTGTTAGTGATTTTAGGGTTGTTTCTCCTACTTGAACAATTAAAATTGATCAACAAATTAATAAAATAAATTGAATAGAATTAAGTGAAGTCAAAATCCTTAGTAGTTTTTAAACCTTGATTTCTTTTAAGCACAATTGTTTTGCTTGATTTCTTTTATTCTCTTTTATTTGTTGAATTTGATTCCTTAAAATAAATCCTCTTATTGCCGTTTAAATAATAATAGGTTAGTATAATTTTGGCAGTTGGTATACAATCCTCGTGGGAACGATACTCTATTCATTTTATATTCTATATTACTTGTTGCGATTTCGTATACTTGCGAAAACCACTATCAGAAATCAAACCAAATAAGAACTGAAGTAAGTTGATTTAACACCAAATTCTGCTCATCTTTTGTGTATGGTAAACAAAAACAAAATAAAATATTTTTTTATTAGCAAAAAGATTAAATTTTATTAATTTATAATGTCCAGGAAAAACTTATTTTATCCAAGTACTAACCTGAGCCGATAGGCACCCCACAGACACCCAACCTAACTCAGATAACTTAAGTAAAAAAACCTGATCAAAACATCAATACTCACTTAAACTGATCAAAAATAAAACACAACGTTTTAAGCTAAACGTATCTTATATATTTTATCTCCCTTTTTTTGTAGGTTTTCATGTCTTCACGTAAACTGTTCTTCTATTCAAATTATCTTCCACAATCCCATTTAAAGACACAGTCTAAGGCCCACTTAAAGACATGGTCTATAGCTTTGCACTTCTTCTACGTAACTAATACCTCATGTCTATCTCAGTCATCTTGTTCCAAATTTCAAGTCTCCAACAACATTGCAGTTGCAAGTATTATTTTTCTAATTTTTTTATTTTTTATTTTTTGCTTTTATTTTGTTATTTATTTGAGTTTTCTTCATGATTTTCAATTCCCTAATATTGTTTATGCTTTCTTTGATAAAAATAAAATCAACAAGTAGTATTCTTTATTAGACAAAAAATAATGATTCAGATTACTTTGTACAAACGAATAATCCGAATCGAACTGAATCGGTCAATTCGGTTTCAATTTCTATTTCATTCAAGTTAGTTTGCTATGCTTTTAACTTCGATTCAGTCGGTTTGAGTTGATTTGATCCAGTTCCGACGGAATGCCCACCGGTAGCTACAATAAAAGCTTGCATATTTAAGTTTGAGATGAAATTTTTAAAAATTTTAAGAGGTTACGTATATGTAATGGCAACAATAAAAAGAACATAAACTCCCCTGCTAAGTGACCCAAGAACTTAGACCCATTATAAAATAAAGTGGTTTATTCTACTAGCCCATGAATGCATTACCCATTTTTCTTTTCAGCAATTTCCACATGTATGGTTTTGGGCCATTTGAAGCTAGAACCGTAACACCACATATTTACTTTGTTGGTTAGATGGACCAACATAAGAACTTCACGTTTTGGTCTTGAAGAATGTAAGTGAGAATAAAACATCAGGTGTAGAGAGAAGTGGAGATTTTAGCTGTTCTACTTCTAGGGAGTGATAGAGAGAAAATTTTAATGAATTGCAAATCCACCCAATTTCATCGTCCTTCACCTTTGCTTTCATTGTGGAGATTTTAGCTGTTCTATGTGTATAGTTATTGCCATTTTTAATATAGTTTATATGGTAAATATTTTATAATAATTTTTTCAAATTATTAAAATAATAGTTTAATAATTAAGTGTTTTCCTAAATATTAGGAATTTATTAGATCTTAATATAATTTTTTAAAATGTATAAAGACAATATAATTGTTTTCAATAATTTGATGCGTCGAGGGCTGAATACATAAATTCACTTATAAATTTTACAACTTTGACCTATCGTGCACTTAAATTTGTAAATTTTAGTAATATTACATACCTTTTGACATTAATATCAATAATATTTAAGGTTTTTGACTTTTATCTGCAAAATGTTGACTGTAGTTAGCGTGACTTTTAGAAGAATAATTTCATAAATTTTAACTTTTTAACGAGTCTTTAATTTATCTAATTTTACAAGTTGAAGTGTTCAATAAAATAAATTTGAAAATTAAATTACTTAATATGGGTAATTTTATAAATTGAAGTATTTGATAAGTATAAATAAAAGTTGAAGGTACTATAAAATTAAAGCAATAAAGTTCGAGAATGAATTTATGATTTAGCCTTGAGCTAAGGGAAGTATTATCTGTTGTTGTGTAACCTGCATCGTTACTTTGACATATTGATCTAATTTTGCAAGTTGAAGTTTGAATAAAATAAATTTAAAAATTAAATTACTTAATAGGGGTAATTTTATAAATTGAAATGTTTGATAAGTCTAAATAAAAGTTGAAGATATTATAAAATTAAAGCAATAAAGTTCGAGAATGAATTTATGATTTAGCCTTGAGCTAAGGGAAGTATTATCTGTTGTTGTGTAACCTGCATCGTTACTTTGACATATTGATCTAATTTTGCAAGTTGAAGTTTGAATAAAATAAATTTAAAAATTAAATTACTTAATAGGGGTAATTTTATAAATTGAAATGTTTGATAAGTCTAAATAAAAGTTGAAGATATTATAAAATTAAAGCAATAAAGTTCGAGAATGAATTTATGATTTAGCCTTGAGCTAAGGGAAGTATTATCAAATATATATTTTTATTATTTTTAACAGAAAATTTTTTAATTAATTAATAAAAATTTTGATTGGGTTAGTTAATGGATGGCCAGAGTCTATCCCATAGAGAAGTTCCCTCCCTTACCAAAGCAAGACAAGGATGTTGATCGGTGAATTGAAAGAAAATAAAATAAAATTAAAAACAATTCAAAATAGAATACGACAGAGCTCAAAGACGACAAAAGCAAACGACCAATCCCAATTTGTGTAACAAAATTCTCTAACATCGATTTACCAAACGCCAATTGGCTCTCTTACAATTACAATTACAATTACAATTGCCTTCGGACTTCCTCAAGATCTCTTCTTCATCATCATTTCTAATTCCCATAACCAGAAAAACCAGATTACAGATTATTTCTTAAAACAGCACAAATTAATTTTAACTGTTTTTTGTCAATCTCGATTCTTTAACAGCTTATCATTCCTATTTCTTCTTCTTTACAACAATGCCTTCTCCAATTCTTCCTCTAACAATCAACCAATCTTCAAAATCCTCTTCCTTTCTTCACCCAATACCTCCGGCACCAATGCCCACCTCTTCAATATTGCTAAAACAAGGGATTCTTGACGACTCAACTAGTAGGCTTTTGATTTCATCTTCATTTCACGAAGAAATTAAGCCTTTATTACCGAGAACTTCTAGTTTTGCCGATACTACTGCCACCACAGCCTCTACCTCTGCAAATTCTTATCAACAGCAAAGACGGCGGCGGGTCGCTAGTGATAGTAACCTCCCGGACCTTTCTGATGCCGGTAGTCAGCACCAATCCTTTAGTCGTGATGTGGGTCATGCCGCTTCTGAAACGTTTCTGCTTACGAGATTGACTCTCAAGCTCTTGAGATATCTCGGGTATTTTTTTTTTTTTCTAAAAAATATGTTGAGTTTTGTGATTTTTCTGTTTTTGATATGATTTTTTGATGCTGACTGACTTTTTTTCCCCTCCCCAATTTTTTTTTCTTTATTGGTTTTCTTATGCCTATATGAGGTTTGGTTGAGTGAATTAATACATGATATAAGGGTTGATTGTTGCAGGGTAATAGAATTTAATCTCTATGAATAAAGAGAGTAAATGGATATAGTACTGTAAATTTATTTTCTTTTTGCGTTCTGTTTGCTTTTTGGCTTTGGGAATTTCATGTGTATTTCCCAACTTGTTTCAGATGCTTGCTTAATGTTATCCCAACTATAATGTAGCTTACTGATCATTTATTTTTCATTCAGGATAGGTTACAAATGGATCATGAGATTCCTTGCTCTTGGTTGTTACTCTATGATGCTTACGCCAGGTTTTATTCAAGGTTTGTGGCATTCATTAATACTTTGCAAGACATTTCATGCACAAAAAGTCGAACATGTAATTTGCATATGTTTGAATATCTAACACTAAATTTTTTGTTCCATTATAATCCTCGAATATTTAGATTTACATATGAATATATAATGTTCTACAATTATTTAGTATGGAAAAACATAACTAGTACGCTGGTCATTTGCAGTTGGATATTACTATTTCTTCTCCAGTCAAGTCCTGAGAAGTATAGTTTATGGTGATCAACCAAGAAATAGGTGGGATGTCATGAATTTTGCTTATTTTCTTTCACATTCTTGCAATAAGTTCCCACCCCTTGTAAAATTTTAAATCTATGGGTTTTTGGCATGACCAGGTAGACTTTTCTTGCAGGCTTGATCTGTATTTACCAAAAAGCAGTGATGGGCCAAAGCCAGTTGTTGCATTTGTAACTGGTGGGGCCTGGATTATCGGGTGAGTTATATTTTCATTCCTTGCCATCAATATTCGAATTTGGGAGCTAATCATTCAACAGCTAGTGGTTTCTATTTCGTTACCTGATTGGTAAATGTATGATCTCTGTTTCAGTTCTGAATCAATATAAAACTAAAAGTGTTTTAGAAAGTCCCATTAAACAATAAGCAGTTGATTGGATATCACTCTTTTTGATTTGTCTAGTGAGATTCCATAAATTACATTGTCAAGTGATATTTTCATGCAAAATATTATATATACCTGCTTAATTATCCTTGATGTATTTTAGGAACTTTTTCATGTTGATGCAGTTATAAAGCATGGGGTTCTCTTTTAGGGAAACAGTTATCGGAAAGGGATATCATAGTGGCTTGCATAGATTACAGGTGATTCTCTTTTTTTGAGGCCAAAATACACTCTTCTAATAGTAGATGCTATCTTTAAAAAAAAAAAATAAATAAATAAAAATAAAAGCTCTGTTCTGGATAAGTTCAGTGATGATTTTGTCCTTAACTTTTGTTAAACTGTATAGTCACCATAATGGTCTTTTTCTTTTTCCTTTGCAATTATGCTTATTTGTTTAATACTTGAAGACACAACCAACAAAGAAGGATATATATATTTTCATTATTGAGATCTCTCTGCAATCCTTTGGATGTTCAGTAGTTCCATTCGATGAAGTGATTATCCATTTTGATGGGGCATTCAAGGTGCTTTGATGTCGAGCAACTGCTTGTATAATTTCAGTTTACAAGAAATCAAGTTTATGAACCTGTGGTTATTATATTATTCTTCTCTATTGGTTGAAAGATGCTTTTAGTTTATTTTCATCAAGTTTTCTGTTTAGAATCTTCATTATCCTCGATGTACTTTGGTTGCCTGCAATGGACAATGCAGACTGATGATCTTTTTCTTAACTCCTAACTATTTTCTCTTACTGATGAATGTCATATTTTTGTGTTAGAATTTCCATTGGTTCTTTTGTTCTACTTCCTGTTGTAATGCTATTATAATCATGCATTCTGCAATGCTTATGTTACTTCAGTATAATTCCTTTGATTTGGGAATGGCTGTGAATATCAAATGATCACCCTAACTCTTGATTTCATAATTGTCTTGTGCATGCAGAAATTTCCCTCAGGGAACCATGAGCGATATGGTGGAGGATGCTTCTCAAGGCATCTCATTTGTATGCAATAACATTGCTCAATATGGAGGTGATCCTAACCGGTAATGCATTTTTTTCCTTTTTCAATTTCTTTTTTAATATCAGTGTTTCGATTCCATTTACTGGTGAATGCTAATGATGCTGTTATCCCTGTGTTTTCCTTGATAGAATTTATTTAATGGGACAATCAGCTGGTGCACATATTGCTGCTTGTACTCTTCTAGAGCAGGCAATCAAGGAGGCTGGTGAAGGAGAAAGCATTACTTGGAGTCTGTCCCAGATTAAGGCTTATTTTGGACTTTCTGGAGGGTTAGTTTTTGTTAAGACAATGCAGTATCTGCTTGCTTAAATGACCATAAACATTACTTAGATTTTTCTTATTTGGAGCTTTTTTTTACAATTTTTCCTGTCACATCTAAAATAGTTTTTGTTAAGACAATGCAGTATCTGCTTGCTTAAATGACCATAAACATTACTTAGATTTTTCTTATTTGGAGCTTTTTTTTACAATTTTTCCTGTCACATCTAAAAGCAGGTACAATTTGTTAAAACTCGTAGATTATTTCCACAGTCGTGGTTTATATCGTTCTGTCTTCTTAAGGTAAAGCATTTCTTCGTTTCTTGTTGAACTGTAGCTATGCTTCAGTTTCATTCAGTTAATGATGCCTTCATTCTCTGCGTCTCATTCTGATATGCTGATGACTCCATTTTCATACAGCATAATGGAAGGAGAAGAATCCTTACGAAGATTTTCACCTGAAGTAATTGTAAAGGACCCCAGTGTGAAAAATGTGGTTTCTCTGCTACCTCCTATTGTTCTTTTTCATGGTACTGCAGATTACTCTATTCCAGCAGACGCCAGGTCAGTTCTTCATGTCAAGAATCTTTTTTCTTTCATATATTCGGTATTCTTTTATAAATTTAAATGGGTTACTTATGTGATAGGATTGTTGAGGCATGGTGTTTTTATGTTAATCACATTTGCTGTTCATCATTTTTAGACTTAATCACATTTGCTGTTCATCATTTTTAGACTCAAGGTAATATCATCTCATGGAACATATAAATATATATTCATTCTCTATTTTAGGCACAGGGCAATATCATCTTTTGATGAAAGACATAATTTTAAATTCTCTATGCTGTTCTCTTTGTGATCAAAGATGATTAAATGTGTTTCCATTTATGCAGAAATAAACTCTTTTACTTCGAACGAAAAATATCCTCACGGAATAATCCCTTTAAGCTACATTAACTACTGTTACAATTGCATCCATATATGTGTGCTGCCTTCCTAAATTTCTGTATATATATTGGCGATAATGGAATTTTTCGTATGAAGTAAATTTGTTTCTATTGGAACTTCGTCGTCATTCTTTGCCTGTTGATGCTAAGACTTCTTGTATGCAAGCTTTTATTGACATCCCTTGTTCCACAGTACAAGTTTTGCTGAAACTCTTCAAGGACTTGGAGTTAAAGCTGAATCAATTTTATATGAAGGCAAGACTCATACAGATGTGTTCCTTCAGGTAAGAGAATTCTCCAAGTTTTGTTGTCCAATAGTAATATTCATTGCTTCTTTCTGCAGATTAATTTCTGTTTTGGTGCAGTTTCAAGATATGTATAAATGTTTAATTGTGGGTTTAATTATTTATGTTAATGGGTGCATGTGATTAAGGATCCAATGAGAGGGGGAAAAGATCAGATGTTTGAAGATTTAGTTGCCATTATTCATGCTGGTGATGCAGAAGCTGAGGCCAAAGATGCAGTGGCTCCTCCAAGAAGACGCCTTGTACCAGAGTTCATGTTACAGGTGGCTCGTAGAGTCAGCCCTTTCTAACACCACCAATAAGCTTCTTGTTTATTCTTTCTACTCATTGTACATATCAAGCTTCTTGTTTATTCTTTCTACTCATTGTACATATCATTAACGCAACTTGATTATTTCTTCTTTCTGTTCAATTCCCCCCTCGTTTAAGCTCATAGTAGCTCTCAGTTGATAATAGAAGTGTTTTGACTAAGTCAATACATTAAAAGCTATATGAAAAGCTGTTACCCAACAAAATCTTTTTTATAAATAATTTTTTTTTTTTTTGGTATTTTAGTTTGTGTATATTGGAAAAAAAAAATAATTAGGATATTTTGCCATTATCTAAATTGTATAGTTGTGATCCTGTCGACGAAATAGTCGTTGGTTTTAATTTTTGTCCAAACAAAAGTAAATTTTCATTTTTTAAAAAAACAAAAAAAGAATACATAATTTTTTTTACATATTTTGATGTGAGAAAAAAAATATTAAAAGGAGAAAGCTGTCCAATTGTGTTAATAGATAATTCAGAAATTAAAATTCTTTGGCAAGTATTCATTGTTGAGTGGGTATATTAAGTCACAAAGCGACTTTCATGTCTCTGAATAAATTCAATTGTTTGAATATTTGCAAGAAATTTAAAGCCAAGAATTTAAACTTTTAGACTTAAAAAAGCTTAAGAGAATATAATTAACATATATATATATATATATATATTATATATATATATTATATATATATATATATATATATATTCGAATTAATCAGGCATTCATAGTTCACTTAATTAAATTTTCCTCGCACCAGTTGGTTCACTGAGAGATAAAATACTCATAAGGAGTATTTACTCCATTTACGAGGATCCAACTCTTTGAACCTCACCATCTAAGAAAAAAAAGTATCGAATACTTGTAAAGAGTATTTGCTCTATCCATGAGGATCAAACTCTCTCTATTTCATTACTAAGAGTATCGAATCACTAGTCCTAATGTCTCCGTGACAAATATAATTTTTTCATGAATGATAACTCATCAAAATTAATAATTAAAGAAACCAATAACAAAATTTATAAAAAATAAAAATAAAATTCAAGTGGGAAGAACTATTGACAGGGAGAATTACTTGCTCCGTTGCTTCAATAAAGAAAAATTAGAAAAATGAATGACTCAAATAAAAAAACTACTTAATTCTAACCTTGATTCTAGCCTTAATTCTAGGCTTAATTTATGTGATTTCATTGTACAATTAGATACAACAAAAACATAAATTTCTTCTTTAATAACAAATCACAATAGGCTCCAAACACTAAACGGTTAAAAAAAAAAATTTATATCAATCAATATATTTAAACAATGTTAGAGGTATCACATCACATAATAATTTAATAAATATGTCTAGACTAAAAATTTAAAAATCTTGTTATAATTAATAAATAAATTGAATTAAAGTCGAGATATACAATTAGACACGTCACTGTTCCTATATAAAGGGATAGGCCTTTCCAATTACTTACAAGTTATATGATAAGATGGCCAAGAGTATTCGAAATGTTTTCTCTGTCTTCTTTATCCTCCTCGTCATTTTGCTTCTCGGGATGACACCGCTGTTATCTGCTCGTCCAGTTCGACAAGGTAATGATATTTTTTGTAAATAGATACATACAGTAATATTTTAATTTATTTTAATCAATCACATATTACAAAAATTAAATCTCTTTTTGTTTCACAAAATATTTTTTTTAAAATAATGTTGGCAAATTAAATCTCTTTAATGGAAAATCTTTTTCAAATTAAGGAAAATGAAGATAGCTTTTTTAGGAGCCAAATTAAAATTATAAATTCATTAAAATATTATAAAACTTTGTATAAAATAAATTGTAATAGGTTTTTTGTGACAATTTGGGCCATTTGCTCGCTTTCAATTGTAATTAATGATGAAATTGCAAATAAAAAAAATATTTTCATTCTTTATTTAATAAAGATAAAATAAATTTTCTCAAAATAAAAGATAAAATAAAATTTAAATATCAAATTATATTTATAATTTAGATTTTATATTTAGTTTGGTAGCACATATAGATTTAAGAAAATATGATATCTGAGGCATGTCAATTAAATTTACTTAATTTATTTTTTATGAAATGAATAATTCAACTAAATAATTATCAATCCACAAATTACTACAATTTACGAATTTTATCCTTATCAATTAGATAATATAAAACAAACTCGTAATATATACTTACTAATATATTTTAATTTCCCTTATGGCCATGCTTGCGATTTTTAGTCATGTAACATAAAATTGTTAATTACCACATTTATTTCAAAAAATAAAATTTTATTTGTGCAACATTATTTACTTAGACTGCTGAAATTTTTTCAAATTTTTATTTTTTCTAAGTTTTTTTTAGAGTCAAATGATGATTTAAAAATGATGAAAATATTTTTTTTGTTGTAATCTCATCCTTAATTTTCAGTTAGACAATTATTATTATAAAAGGTCGAAATTATGTGAATCAACAAAAAGATCAAAATAAAGTGAATCTTTGATGTTCAGTTATATTAGACCCATTTTTTTTACAAAATATGAACTTTTTTTTTTTTTTTTTTTTTTTTTTTTTTGCAATTTTTGGTGCTTAAATTTACTTTCAAGTCATCGTTAGAAAATCCCTTTTGTTATTGTACTTCAAAATGAAATTAATTATGATAATAGTTTTGCACTGTTTGCAGGGCCTAATATTGGTACGTCTGAGCCGACGTCTGCGTGGTGCGAGTCGTCAAAGACCTGGAGGACCAAGGAGGCGCTGATAATCCAGTGCGTATCCAACCGGAGAATTAAAAAGTAAAGAAGAAGCCCAAGATATTTTTGCAAACGACCTAGTAGTATTATATACATAACAAATTATAGTTCTGTTATATATTAATATATATATTTATTATATATATATTTTTTTTTTTTTTTTTGATGAATATGTTATGTATGTAACTCTGGTTGTCAATAAGTTGTGGAATTAATAATAATTTAAGTTTTTAAAAAATGAAATTTTTGTTGGAGATTAAGAACTTGGGATCGTCATTGATAAGGACAATTATCTACCACAAGCTGTTTATAATTGGGAATCCAAAATCTCAAAGGGTCATGCATGCAAATTGCAGGAAGTGTTGGATATCAGCGCAGTGATAAACTTCAAAATTGATTAATAATTTATAACACCAAAAATAATAATGGGAAAGCAACCAAAATGATACTAACACAAAACACAAAATATAATTGTATTAATAAAAATAAAACATTCAAAAAGTTTAAAGAAAGGATTACTTACTTGGTGGTTACAAATGAGAGGAGGGTGGTATTTATAGGCATTTCCACCTCCTCAATGTACGGCTAAGATTTGTTTACAAAAATGGACGGTCTAGATTACAAGGAACATTCTAGAATTAGGTAAGATATTTTCATTACATCTCATGATTGTGGAGTATTCTAGAATGTGGGCTTAGACCTCCAACTTTGGGCTACAAGCTTCCCAAGTCTTGGCTTATTATGGCAGCCCATTTTGATGGTGATTTTTCTAAATTAATCGGTGATATTTTAATAGGAAGCTACTTAATTCGAATCCTACGTTTATAAAACATACCTAATAATACTGATTAGAAGGTTTTCATTTCCATCTTTACGATCTTCACCATCATCTTTGTTCTGATGGTGTTGCCAACCTCCGCTGGTCGGCTTCTCGAAGGTATGTATTTAATTCAATCTCCTTTTACCATTATTATTAATAGTAAAGAAAAAGAATTCTAAATTCTAATTTTTGATATATGAGAAACATCAACTCTCACTTGTGATAATCTAGATATATCATCATTAATTCACGATTGAGATTATTTTAATTGATGGAATTTAAAAAATTTTCAACGACTTTATAAAAATTTTTTTACTTGATTGAAATTGATAAATTATATTGGAACTTTAATTTTACTATTTTGAGATAACGATCTCACATACGTTTCATTGTTTTTTATTAGTAATGAGATTTAAGCCATTTAAATTTTCTTAAAAAATATTATTTAATTTATGAATTTTGTTTTCGAATTAAAAGATGAAATATAAAATTAAAATTTTAAAATACATAGGATAAAAATCTAAGAAAATTTCATAAAATTCATGGATTTTACATTTTCTCAGTCTAAAGCGCCTGTTTGATTTTTTTTTTTTAATGAAATTAATTACTGATATTTGTAGACTGCATGATAAATGCGTGCGGCAGTGGATCACCACCAGGAGGACCAGGGAGGCGCAGATAATGCAATCCATATACGAATGCCATTAACTGTAGTTTGTCTTTTTTGGCATAAATTTAACGATAGTTTATTTTATTTTCCAGCTTTTACCAGTGCCCAACTCTTTATTAACAACACTTGTAAATTTGTGATAACAAATTATATCAAGGACTATGTGTTGGTATTATTATTGCTTTTTAACTAATCTTTTTTCTTTGGTCATTTACAATAATTTTACTGTATTATTATTGCTTTTTAACTTTAGAAATTACTGTCTTTGAAATTATTTGTGGATAGCTTCAAATAAAAATTCTATAAATAAGAGAAATAATAATATGATATACATCAAACATTCAACTTGTAAAATCATTTTATTAAACAATTCAACTTGTAAAATTAGATTAACTAACCCATTTTAAATAGTTGAAAAATATGAAAATTATTGTTCCAAAAGTTATGTTAACTATATATTAAATTATATTTTGCATATAAAAACCAAAACCCTAAAAATTATCATATAAAAACCAAAACGCCTAAGAAATTATAGTTGTTAGTATGAAATATGTACAATATCATCAAAATTTTTGCAAGTTACAAAAGAACAATAGGTTCATCACAAAGATCAGGATACTTATAAGATGGATATTATAAGATTAAAGTTACAAAATTCAAACCTACGGGTTATGGCTCAATTGGCAACGCAAACTGGACATGTGGGAAGAGCTCTTGGTTCGATCCCCATTAAATGCACCTGTAGGTAGGGCGAGAAACTTTAACTGTGATAAGCCCCAAGCCGTATTAGGCGGTCTCTGGTACCGAATACCAGTGGTTTACACTAAAAGAAGTTACAAAATTCATGGGTGAATTTATGCATTCAGTCTATTTACATGGATGGAGGTTGAACTTTAAAATTGAATTGATAAAATTTAAAAGATAAGGAAGTGTTTAACTAAGATTTGGAGTCTATTTACATGGAGGTTGAACTTTAAAATTGACTTGATAAAATTGAAAAGACAAGGGAGTGTTTAACTAAGATTTGGAAAACAACTAAGTTGTTTCCGAAATTTTCTTTATAACAAAAGACATATTTTTCATTTTTATAAAATGACATTTTCATTATGAAAGTTATAATCTATAAATAATTTTTTCTATAAAATATTTTTATTGATTTTTATTGAATAATAAAAAATATTTAAATACATAAAAATTATATTATGCTTTAAATGTATAATTAATTTTTATTATTAAATATATTATATCCTTTTAATTTTTAAGAAATTTTACAAAAATGAAAAATTGATTGATATTATTATTATAAATAATCAGTAATAAAAATTCAAAAATTTTTAAATAAAAATTTTCTAAATTTATTTTATAATATTTTATTTAAAATGTCATGAATAATGTTTGTGAAATTTTTAAATTAAACTTTATAATGAAAAATTTTAATTTTTTATTGTTACCAGGTAATCGCATTTTCCATTTTCCTATTTTCTAGTTTTCATTTTCTAAGAAAACTGTTTTGTAATAAAACAGAAAACTATTTTCTATAAGTAAATGCACCACAATTTATTTTCTTGGAGGACTAAGTTAGTTGTGATCTGAGTTAGTTGTGGAAGAGAAGGTATAAGTACTTGAACACCCAAGAGGAATAATGAACTTACATGGATATTAGCATCAACACCATTATCCAGTCTCTTGTTTAAAATGGACAGTTTCTATAAGCTCTTTGCTTGCATAACAACAACAATGGCTACGGGCAACAAGAAGGTTGCGGTGATCCTCCAAATCATAATTCTGATTTTGGCTCTGCTCCTATCATCCATAACTGCTCAGCAACATCCTAGTAAGTATATATTGCTTCTTATTTATCAATCCAACCATTATTTTTCATATAATATGAGTAATTAATTAATATAAGTTTATCAAATTATTTCAATTTCAGAATTAACTTTCAAAAATGAATTAATTTGGCATATGAAATAAAATGATCCAATTAATTTGGCATATGAAATAAAATGATCCAATTTGACAGCTATTTGAATGACATATATATGATTGATGGTGTTTGTAGAAAGTTGCATAGATGCATACCCAAGCAAGTTACCGCCCGGAGGACCAGGGATGCGCACATAAGAAGCTCAAAATTTAAATTATGTGAGCAATTACACCTAATTCCTCTTCTTCTTCTGCTTTTTCTTCTTCCCTTTTTTTTTTTTTTCTAATGTTTGAACTACCAACTCTAAGCTTGTATTTAAGGCTCTTGAAATCCCAAATGATGTAAGAGTATTTTGGAAATCCCAAATTACATGATAAAAACTGATTTGGATCAACAGTTGTCATGTAGAAATATGTAGATTAATTTTTTATTGAAAAAATATATAAAATTAGTAAATAACACATACGAGATGATGCGTCCCACATCGCCCGCGGAGTACATCCTGAGCTAGTATATAAGGCTGGGTTCAGTCCTTCCTCTACAGGCTAGCTTTTGGAGCGAAGTTAAGGGTCCAGTCTCTTGCAAGAGTCCTTTATCATTTGGAATCAGAGCTCTGGCTTCGTAGGGTCTTATGGGGGTGGGGATGATGTACATCTCTGGCTTCGTACTACTTGCAAGAGTCCCTTATCATAATCGATTAAAATTACTTGGTCCATTTTGTTTATGCTGAAGAAAAGTCAACTCCTTATAAGTCTAAATTATTAAGTGGAATTATTAATTGAATTTGATTTTAACATATTAACTACCATAGTCGTGTGTATATAACAATAAATTTAACAAATTTTTAATATTTTATTTTGTAAATTATTAGTATTTTTTAAAAGAAAGTTATTAGAAATTCATCAATAAAGAATATAATATGGATATGCCATAATAATATTATAGGATTAAAAAAAATATATAAATATAGATATTTAAAATTTTTTATTTGGAAGAAAAGATTAATAGTCCAAGCAAAAATAACCACTTAATTAATTTTTAAATAGAATGACAAAATTATCAACTATTATTTGGTATTAAGGTTTGTTAAAATGCATGTCATGGTTAATGAATTTTATCAAATTTCCTAAAATCTTAAAAACACTAATTTACTATTTATCCTTCACTTACTATTTATCCTTCACTAACATAAAATTCAACAAAATGGCAAAGAAGTTAACATAATAAAATTATAGGGACCTAAAAGTTCAACTTTTAAAATAAAGATTTTGACTTGTGATAGTATTGATTTTTATAGTGTTTTTATTGTAATTCTCATTAAGATTTCTAGTACTTTTAATTAAATTTCATGTAACATTTGTATGTTTTTTAATCAAAAGCTTCCTTGAATTACAACTCACTTGATTGGGAAGAAAATTGTAGGATTCTGCAAAGAAAAGAACAAAGAAAACAAGGCAAAATACAATTGGCACGCCCCAGCCCGTGCTAAGGAGCACGGCCGTGCCTAGCACAAGGCAAAAACAAGCCAAAAAGCCAGAGGCGCGCACGCCCCAGACCATGCCGAGCCGCACGGCCGTGCGCGCTATCACCCAGACTTCCAGGAGACTGCACGGCCAGACAACACGCCCGTGCCACAAGTGTCCCAGACTTCCAGAGAGATGCACGCCTCAGCCCGTGCCCGTGCTACCCCGCACGCCCGTGCGCGCTATCAACCAGGCTTCCAGGAGACTGCACGCCTGGGCCGTGCAGAACCACACGCCCGTGCGCGCTAGCATGCGCAGGACGTGCCGTGCAACACGCCCCGTGCCGAAGCCTCTGACCTCCAAGGCTTGGCACGCCCCAGGCCGTGCCTGTCAGCACGTCCGTGCCAAGCAAGAAATCAATGTTTTGAGTCAAAAGTTGCAACCTGCTTCTACCAAATTATGAAGCATATTTTGGACAACTCTCCTCACATGCAAACCAAGATCAACTCTATGCACATGGGTGAATCATGATTAAAGAAAATATACACCGAAAATATACACCTAAAAGAGAGATTTACAACCTAACAAAAGAACTTTTCCACCTCACAAAATTGGACTTTACTCATTAAAGCATAAGGCTTGTTCCCCCAAGAAGTCTATATAAAGAGGGGAAGAAGCCATTCCAAGGTATCCCACACATTACACTACACTCCACTCCACTCTCCATCTTTCTCTCATTTTATAGCTTGCATATAGTTTTATTTTTAGAAGTTAAGTATTCAGGAGTTGTGCAAAGTTTCAAGGAAGCCATCCAAGCAATTCGTCACTAGTTCTTATTTCTAAACTCTTAATCTTGTTTATTTCTTTCATTATCCTTATTGATTATGAAATATTTTTGAAGTATTATTGGGTTTTATTTAAGTACTATGTATAACTAAATTCTTATACTAGGGGTTTGATGTAGCTTAATCTCTCTTCCAATTAGATTTATTTTTCCTTATTCAAGTTATGATTTATTGATGAACTTAATGCTTGTAGGCAGAATTTTCCTTCTAGGCAGAATTTTCCCCTAGATTGATTTATTTCAATTATCTCTATCGGAAGAAGGATCTTTGATATGAAAAGTGTTAATAAAACACATGAGAATAATAATTTGATGCGGAAGCTATATGGTTTGACTCATGGGGAGTTTTTATGATTTATCAACTTTAAATTGTAAATTCATAAATAACTACATGGCTTAATGATTTAATTCATATTTAGTTACGCTATTGGAAGATAGGTAATTAAACGGAATTAAAATAGCTAGCAATACATCGGAAGAGCTTGTTAGTGCGGGGAAGAGCTTGTTAGTGAATTCAAGAGTTGTTTCTCCTACTTGAATAATTTAAAATTTGATTAATGAACTAATGAAATAAATTGGAAAGAATTAAGTGAAATTCAAAAACCCCTAGTAGTTTCAATTCCTTTGATTTCTTTTAATCGAAATTGTTTGTTTACTTGACCCTCTGTTTATGTTTACATTTTGTACAACAAAATCCCTAATTATCGTGGTAAATAGAAATAACAAGATAACACAATTTGGTACTGTGCGTTTACAGGATCCTCGTGGGGACGACATAATTTTGGTACTTGGATTACAATCCTCGTGGGAACGATATCTTACTCATCATATATTACTTGTAGCGATTTGTACACTTGCGAAATAAGCTGTCAACTTGTAAATGAGGTTAAACATGAGGTAATAAATAATAATCAATCCTTAAATATTCTCAATTCTTCTATTAATTTTATCTTTTGACTTATTAAAACATTATAATATTAACTTTATTATTTTATATAAATTTTTTGGTTCCTCCAAGTTTGAGATTCTCACACCTGTCTCTATCTATATATAAATTTGAAGCAATAGCTATAAGTTGTGACATCCTATTTCATATTAATGAATAAACCTGGAAAGGTTCAACTTGGGCTGCAAGTAAAACGACTAGTCCACAGAAAGCTGTGGAATAAGATTTTAAAATGAAAATTCTGTGGAAAATTATGGCCTTGATAAGGATAATTATCTACCCCATATTGTTTATAAAAAGGACCATAACATATTGCTGCGGGAGAAGTTCCAAGCCCTTCGGCTTTGTTTAAGATATGGCTAATAATGCACATCACAATGTTTTCATTGCTCTCTTTATATTTATCTTCATCATTTTTGTTCTGATACAGCCGTCAACCTCCGCTCGTCAGCTTCTATGTATGTACGAGTACTGAGTTTTTCTTTTTGTATGTATGTACGAGTACTGAGTTTTTCTTTTTGTTCATTTTTTTTCCCTTGCTTTGATATATTATGACTCAAAATTTGGAGATGAATTTAGTATTATAAAGGGGCAACTCTTTAATTAAGTTTGGATCTTCTGCTCAAGTTGTTTTTTTTTTTTATTTTTTTTTATTTTTTATTTGTTATCTGTTGTACTGAGTGTTAGAATATAATCAACTTGAATTCAAGATAGTTATTCGAAATCTTAGGGAAAGATTGAATTTTTTATCTCGTGTACTTTCATCTGCAATTCTTCTAATTTCATTTAATTTAGATATTTAAAATAATTTTTCATCGTCTGGTACAAATAAGAATTAAATGAATCAAATGAATCCATGTAAAAACTTAAAAATTGAGCTTAACATTCCACTTGAACTCAATTATATCCTGATTCCTTTTCTTTTTAATCTCATTGTAACTGGTAATCAATTAACAGAGAAAAAAGAAAAAGAATTTTGAATTCTCTTTTTTTTTTTTTTAATGAAATTAATTATTGATATTTGTAGACTGCGCGATAAGTCCGTGCGGCGGTGGATCACCACCAGGAGGACCAGGAAAACGCAGATAATCGAATCGATATCCCTTCGGGGAGGACCAGGAAAACGCAGATAATCGAATCGATATCCCTTCGGAGGCTAACCTGAGGAGGTCAATATAATGTGCAAATGATAAACAACTTCACTAGTATGTTTTATTTTATTTTCCTTGGTCTTTTTCCTCGGGTTTGTCTGTTAAATTCTACAATTGTATTAGAAATAAGTCACTTGCCTTGGTCTGCAAGAGTGTTTTGACTTTCAATATTATTGTCAAAAAATATTAAATATTTTGTTTTCGCATAAACTTACTTTGGAATGCTAACTATAGTTACTTAGATACTCCTTCCATGTCATTTGACTTTGTTTAAGATAATTGCATAATTAGATAATAATTGCACTATTAAATACTATTCATGTAATTTCAAGAATTGTTTAAGATAATTGCACAAAGATTAAAGAAATCAATATTACCCACCAACAAGGAGTGAATTGAGTTAGGTAAACGATCTCAATTCTTATAAGAATGAAAATACGTGTTCGATCCTTAAGAAACTCATTTTGCTGGGACCGCCAAAAATATTTATGCTCTACGGTCCGAGGGGATTATACATCATGATTATTTATATATATAAAAAATCATTAGCCACAATATATACCAAAAATACAAGTTGTAATTAAATAAATTATTTTAAATAAAAAATATTCTCATTCTTTATTTAATAAAGATAAAATAAATTTTCTCAAAATAAAAGATAAAATAAAATTTAAATATCAAATTATATTTATAATTTAGGATAGAAATATAAAAATTTCAAAGTATCAAGATTATGATTCTATAATTTGCTGGTAGCACATTTATAAAATTTAGAAACATGATGATATGAGGGCATGGTGCAATTAAAAGATATAATTAAGAAATGTACGTGTACTTATACTCATGGAAATTAATAATTTTCACTGATATTAGTCAGATGCCAAAAAAAAATACTACGAAGTTACGATGTTAATCCTTTAAATCAGTAGGAGTAATATAAAACAAAATGACGTAATATATGATATATATATATATATATATATATATATTTTAAATTTCTATGCCATGCTTGCGATTTTTTAGTATGTAACAAAAATTATATTATGAAATTGTTAATTATCACATTTATTTCAAAAAATAAAATTTTATTTGTGCAACATTATTTACTTAGACTGCTGAAATTTTTTCAAATTTTTATTCTTTCTAAATTTTTTTTAGAGTCACATGATGATTTAAAAATGATGAAAATACTTTTTTTGTTGTAATCTCATCCTTAATTTTCAGTTAGACAATCATTATTATAAAAGGTCAAAATTATGTGAATTAACAAAAAGATCAAAATAAAGTGAATCTTTGATGTTCTGTTATAATAGACCCATTTTTTCACAAAATATAAACTTTTTTTTTTCAATTTTGATGACTTAAATTTACTTCAAGTCATCTTAGAAAATCCCTTTATGTTATTGTCACTTCAAAAATGAAATTAATTTATTGTCACTTCAAAAATGAAATTAATTATGATAATAGTTGCAGGGCCTTCTTGCCAGACGGACGCGTGTGAGAGTGATCCAATTCCTGGAGGACCAGGGAGGCGCTGATAATCCAGTGCATATCCCATCGGAGGATTAAAAGTTAAGACAGAAGCCCAAGATATTATGCAAACGACTAGTAGTATTATAGACATAACCAACTCAATCATAGTTCTTTTTTTTTTTTTTTCTTTTTATTTGAATATGTTATGTATGTAACTCTGGTTGTGAATAAGTTGTGGAATTAATAATAATTTAAGTTTTTAAAAAAATGAAAATTTTGTTGAAAATTAAGAAATGAAAATTTTGTTGAAAATTAAGAACTTGAAATCTTCATCGATAAGGACAATTATCTACCACAAGTTGTTTATAATTGGGAATCCAAAATCTCAAAGGGTCATGCAAATTGCAGGAAGCTACTTAATTCCAATCCTATGTATATAAAACATGCCTAATAATACTGATCGGAAGGTTTTCATTTCCATCTTTATGATCTTCACCATCATCTTGGTCAGATGGTGTAGCCAACCTCCGCTGATCGGCTTCTCGGAAGTATGTATTTAATTCATTACTCCTTTTATCATTATTATTAATAGTAATGAAAAAGAATTCTGAATTCTAATTTTTGATATACGAAAAAGATCAACTCTCACTTGTGATAATCTAGATATATCATCATTAATTTACGATTCAGATTATTTTAATTGATGGAATTTAAAAAATCTTTAACTACTTTATAAAAATTTTTTTACTTGATTAAAATTGATAAATTATATCGGAACTTTAATTTTACTATTTTGAGATAACGATCTCATATATGTTTCATTGTTTTTTATTAGTAATGAGATTTAAGCCATTTAAATTTTTTTTAAAAAATATTATTTAATTTATGAACTTTGCTTTCGGATTAAAAGCTGAAATATAAAATTCTAAAATACATAGGATAAAAATCTAAGAAAATTTCATAAAATTCATGGATTTTACATTTTCTCAGTCTAAAGCACCTGAATTTTTTTTTAATGAAATTAATTATTGATATTTGTATACTGCATGATAAGTGCGTGCGGCAGTAGATCACCGCCAGGAGGACCAGGGAGGCGCAGATAATGCAATCCATATACGAATGCCATTAACTATAGTTTGTCTTTTTTGGCATAAATTTAACTATAGTTTATTTTATTTTCCGGCTTTTACCGGTGCCCAACTCTTTATTAATAACAGTTGTAAATTTGTGATAACAAATTATATTAAGGGCTATATGTTGGTATTCTTTTCTTGATTAGCTAATCTTTTTTCTTTGGTCTTTAATAATAATTTTACTGTATTATTATTGCTTTTTAACTTTAGAAATTAATGTCTTTGAAATTTTTTGTGGATAGCTTCAAATAAAAATTCTATAAATAGGAGAAATAATAATATGATATACATGAAACATTCAACTTGCAAAATCATTTTATTAAACAATTCAACTTGTAAAATTAGATTAATTAACATATTTTAAATAGTTGAAAAATGTGAAAATTATTGTTCCAAAAGTTATGTTAATTATATATTAAATTATATTTTGCATATAAAAACCAAAAAATTATTGTTCCAAAAGTTATGTTAATTATATATTAAATTATATTTTGCATATAAAAACCAAAACCCTAAAAATTATTGTTGTTAGTATGGAAATATGTACAATATCATCAAAATTTGCAAGTTAAAAAAAGACAAATCACAAAGATTAGGATATTATAAGATTAAAGTTATAAAATTCAGACCTACGGGTTGTGGCTCAATCGGCAACACAGACTGTGCATATTGAAAGAGCTCCTTGTTCGATCCCTACTAAACGCACCTGTAAGGAGGGGCGATGAGCCTTAACTGTGACTAAGCCCCAAGCCGGATTAGGCAGTCCCTGTTAATGGGATCTGAATACCGGTGGTTTACACCAAAAGAAGTTACAAAATTCATGGGTGAATTTACGCATTCAGTCCATTTACATGGAGGTTGAACTTTAATATTGAATTGATAAAATTGAAAAGATAAGGGAGTGTTTAACTAAGATTTGGAAAACAACTAAGTTGTTTCCGTAATTTTCTTTATAACAAAAGACATGTTTTTCATTTTTATAAAATGACATTTTTATTATAAAAGTTATAATATCTATAAATAATTTTTTCTATAAAATATTTTTATTGAATAAATGAAAATATTTAAATAACATAAAAAATTATATTAACATAAAAAATTATATTATGCTTAATATATTAAGTTAATTTTTATTATTAAAAATATAAGTTAAATATCTTATTTTTTAATAAATTTTACAAAAATTTGATAAAAATGACTATATTATTATAAATAATCAGTAAAAAAATTCAAAATTTTTAAATAAAATTTTTTTTTTCTAAATTTATTTTATAATATTTTATTTTAATTATGAATGTCATCAATAATGTTTTGTGAAGTTTTTAAAATAAAATTTATAATAAAAAATTTTAATTTTTTATTGTTATCAAGTAATCGCATTTTCCATTTTCTATTTTCTAATTTTCATTTTCTAAGAAAAATGTTCCGTGATAAAACAGAAAACTAATTTCTATAAGTAAATACACCACAATTTATTTTCTTGGAGGACTAAGTTAGTTGTGGAAGAGTAGGTATAAGTCGTTGAAACCCAAGATGAATAATGAACTTACATGGATATTAGCATCAACACCATTCTCCAGTCTCTTGTTTAAAATTGACAGTTTCTATAAGCTCTTTGCTTGCATATGCTTGCATAACAACAACAATGGCTAAGAGCAACAAGAAGGTTGCGGTGATCCTCCAAATCATAATTCTGATTTTGGCTCTGCACCTATCATCCATAACTGCTCGGCAACATCCTAGTAAGTATATATTGCATCTTATTTATCAATCCAACCATTATTTTTCATATAATATGAGTAATTAATTAATATAAGTTAAGTTAATCAAATTATTTTCAATTTCAGAATTAACTTCAAAATGAAATATAATTTGGCATATGAAATCAAATGATCCAATTTGGACAGCTATTTGAATGAACATATATATGATTATGGTGTTTTGTAGAAAGTTGCATAGATGCATGTCCAGGCAAGATGCATGTCCAGGCAAGTCACCGCCCGGAGGACCAGGGATGCGCACATAAGAAGCTCAAAATTTAAATTATGTGAGCAATTACACCTAATTCCTCTTCTTCTTCTCCTTTTTCTTCTCTTTTTTTATTTTATTTTTTTAAATTTTTGAACTACCAAGTCTAAGCTTGTATTTGAGGCTCTTGAAATCCAAATGATGCAAGAGTATTTTGGAAATCCCAAATTACATGAGAAAGACAGATTTGGATCAATAGTTGTCATGTAGGAGTATGTGGATTACTTTTTTTTATTGAAAATATATAAAATGAGTAAATAACACATACAAATAAGGTGAACCCATTAAAATAACTTGGTCCATTTTGTGTCCAAGATAAGTAAACTCCTTATGAGTCTAAATTATTAAATGAAATTATTAATTAAATTTGATTTTAACATATTAACTACCAATTATAGCCGTGTGTTATATTATATAACAATAAATTTAACATATTTTTAATATTTTATTTTGTAAATTATTAGTATTTTTTTAAAGAAAGTTATTAGAAATTCATCAATAAAGAATATTACATGGATATGCCATAATATGATTATAGGAGTAAAAAATATAAATATAGATATTTAAAATCTTTTATTTGGAAGAAAAGATTAATATTCCAAGCAAAAATAACCACTGAATTAATTTTCAAATAGAATGACAAAATTATCAACTATTACTTGGTATTAAGGTTTGTTAAAATGCAGGGCATGGTTAATGAATTTTATCAAATTTCCTATATATCTTAAAAAACACTAATTTACTATTTATCCTTCACTAACATAAAATTAAACAAAATGGCAAAGTAATTGACATAATAAAATTATAGGGACCTAAAAGTTTAACTTTTAAAATAAAGATTTTGACTTGTAAATGAGGTTAAACATGAGATACTAAATAATAATCAATCCTTAACTTGTAAATGAGGTTAAACATGAGATACTAAATAATAATCAATCCTTAAATATTCTTAATTACTATATTATATTATAAGGATGACCATTTTTTTTTATTTTAGCTTTTAATGAATAATATTATATTAATATTATAGGGATGACCACTATTTCATATTAATGAATAAACCTGGAAAGGTTCAACTTGGGCTGCAAGTAAAACGAAAACTCCACAGAAAGCTCTGCAATAAGATTTTAAAATGAAAATCCTGTGGAAAATTATGGCCTTGATAAGGATAATTATCTACCCCATATTGTTTATAAAAAGGACCATAATATATTGCTGCAGGAGAAGTTCCAAGCCCTTCGGCTTTGTTTAAGATATGGCTAATAATATGGCTAATAATGCTCATCACAATGTCTTCATTGCTCTCTTTATTATTTATCTTCATCATTTTTGTTCCTAACAAGCCGTGCAACCTGCCGCTTCGTCAGCTTCTACCGTAATGTACGAGTACTGAGTTTTTCTTTTTGTTTCTTTTTTTTTTTTTTTCCTTGCGTTTGAATATATATGACTCAAAATTTGGAAGATGAATTTAAAGTATTTATAAAGGAGCAACTCTTTAATTAGTTTGATCTTCTGCTAAAGTTTTTTGTTTTTTTTTTTTTTTTTTTTTTTTTTTTTTTTAATCTGTTGTAGTGACCGTTAGAATATAATGAACTTGAATTCAGGATAATTATTCGAAATCTTAGGGAAATATTGAATTTTTTTTATCTTATGTACTTTCATCTGCAATTCTTCTAATTTCATTTAAAATTTAGATATTTAAGATAATTTTTCATCATCTAGTTCAAACAAGAATTAAATGAATCAAATAAATTCATATAAAAACTTAAAATTTGAGCATAACATTCCACTTGTACTCAATTATATTATATCCCGATTCCTTTTCTTTTTAATCTCGTTGTAACTAATAATAGAAGCGATAAATCCGGAGCCCAGTGGATCACGACAAGGAGGACCAGGAGTACGCAGATAATCGAATCGATATTCGGAGGCTTACGTGAGAAGGTCGATATAATGTGCAAATGATATACTGGGAATGTTATATAAACAACTTAACTAGTATGTTTTATTTTATTTTCCTTGGTCTTTTTCTATGTTTTATTTTATTTTCCTTGGTCTTTTTCTTCGGGTTTGTCTTTTAAATTCGACAACTGTATTAGAAATAAGTCGATTACATCAGTCACTTGCCTTGGTGTGCAAGTGTGTTTTGACTTTCGATATTATTGCCAATAAATTTTAAATATTTTGTTTTCGCATAAACTTACTGCGGAATGCTAACTGCAGTTACTTAGATACTCCTTCTATGTCATTTGAGTGTTGTTTAAGATAATTGCATAATTAGATAATAATTGCACAATTAAATACTCTCCATGTAATTTCAAGGATTGTTTAATATAATTGTACAAAGATTAAAGAAATCAGTATTACCCACCAACAAGGTGTGAGTTTAGCTAGGTAAACGACCTTAATCTTTATAAGGATGAAAATACAAGTTCGAGTTCGATCCTCAAGAAGCTCATTTTGCTGGGATGGCCAAAAATATTTACACTCTACGGCTCAAGGGGATTACACATCATGATTATTTATATATAAAAAAAATCATTAGCCACAATATATAGCAAAAAATACAAGTTGTAATTAAATAAAATATCTTCTTTTTTTTTTTCAATTCTCTAAATAAATTAATACTAGGGAGATACCAATAGCGTGATATGGTTCACTGTTATCAATTCAATTGGCTTAATTGAAATACTTTCAACTGTAAATGTCAAGAAAAAAATGGTAAAACTGAAAAAGATAATTAAGACTTAATTTTCTAAAATGATAAAGAAATGAAACAGATTTCTAAAGTAACACTTGAAATGAGACAGAGAAAATAGTTGACAAAAATAATTTACTTCACACTTCATTAATAAATTATAAAAAATTAAATTTCTAATATTATAATATATGAAACAAATTAAATTTCTAATATTATAATATATGAAACTCATGTAATCATATCCTCAAGTTTCTTTCCTTAGCAATATGAAGAGAGCACTCTTTTCATGGTACCTTGGTGCATTTTTCTTTTGAAATTGATTCAGCTACTCTTTGGGAGATGGTTAATCATATGTACAAGAATGGTTAGTTGGGATCTTGAGGCCTTGATTGCTGACATCCGAGAAAGATTAATATTTTTTTGGTCATTACCAGCTTATTCTTATTGATAGAGCTGCAAATATAGCAGCTGACCTTTTAAGCATGTTTTAGCAATATTTTGTCCGCGCATTGGATTTGTAATCCTCCTATTTCTTTATCTGAAATTTTGTATTTAGATGCCAATAGGCTTTATCAATGAAATTATATTCATTCTGTTCAAAAAAAAAAAAAAAAAAAAAAAAAAAAAAAAAAGAACAAAAAAAAAAAAAAAAAAAAAACAGAAAATTGGTGCAGTTTTAGAAGTAATATTTCTGAAATATTATCCAACAATGTTGATAAAATTGGTAAAAGAAAAGTTTTCATCTTTGAATAAAACGTTGATGGTTAATCATTGACCTTAACTTTGAGTCAAGCAATATTTGTATTCTTTTTCCACAAAATCAATAACAGTTACATGTTCATGAGGGCACTAACAGTTACATCTCATTTGTATGAAATAACATTGCTCAATATGGAGGTGATCCTAACCGGTAATGGATTTTTTTTCCTTTTTCAAATTTTTTTTTAATATCAGTGTTTAGATTCAATTTACTGGTGAATGCTAATGATGTTGTTATCCCTGTGTTTTCCTTGATAGAATTTATTTAATGGGATAATCAGCTGGTGCACATATTGCTGCTTGTACTCTTCTAGAGCAGGCAATCAAGGAGGCTGGTGAAGGAGCAAGCATTACTTGGAGTCTGTCCCAGATTAAGGCTTATTTTGGACTTTCTGGAGGGTTAGTTTTTGTTAAGACAATGCAGTATCTGCTTGCTTAAATGACCATAAACATTACTTAGATTTTTCTTATTTGGAGCTTTTTTTTACAATTTTTCCTGTCACATCTAAAAGCAGGTACAATTTGTTAAAACTCGTAGATTATTTCCACAGTCGTGGTTTATATCGTTCTGTCTTCTTAAGGTAAAGCATTTCTTCGTTTCTTGTTGAACTGTAGCTATGCTTCAGTTTCATTCAGTTAATGATGCCTTCATTCTCTGCGTCTCATTCTGATATGCTGATGACTCCATTTTCATACAGCATAATGGAAGGAGAAGAATCCTTACGAAGATTTTCACTCCATTTTCATACAGCATAATGGAAGGAGAAGAATCCTTACGAAGATTTTCACCTGAAGTAATTGTAAAGGACCCCAGTGTGAAAAATGTGGTTTCTCTGCTACCTCCTATTGTTCTTTTTCATGGTACTGCAGATTACTCTATTCCAGCAGACGCCAGGTCAGTTCTTCATGTCAAGAATCTTTTTTCTTTCATATATTCGGTATTCTTTTATAAATTTAAATGGGTTACTTATGTGATAGGATTGTTGAGGCATGGTGTTTTTATGTTAATCACATTTGCTGTTCATCATTTTTAGACAAAAGGTAATATCATCTCATGGAGCATATAAATATATATTCTCTATTGTAGGCACAGGGCAATATCATCTTTTGATGAAAGACATAATTTTAAATTCTCTATGCTGTTCTCTTTGTGATCAAAGATGATTAAATGTGTTTCCATTTATGCAGAAATAAACTCTTTTACTTCGAACGAAAAATATCCTCACGGAATAATCCCTTTAAGCTACATTAACTACTGTTACAATTGCATCCATATATGTGTGCTGCCTTCCTAAATTTCTGTATATATATTGGCGATAATGGAATTTTTCGTATGAAGTAAATTTGTTTCTATTGGAACTTCGTCGTTATTCTTTGCCTGTTGATGCTAAGACTTCTTCTTTTATTGACATCCCTTGTTCCACAGTACAAGTTTTGCTGAAACTCTTCAAGGACTTGGAGTTAAAGCTGAATCAATTTTATATGAAGGCAAGACTCATACAGATGTGTTCCTTCAGGTAAGAGAATTCTCCAAGTTTTGTTGTCCAATAGTAATATTCATTGCTTCTTTCTGCAGATTAATTTCTGTTTTGGTGCAGTTTCAAGATATGTATAAATGTTTAATTGTGGGTTTAATTATTTATGTTAATGGGTGCATGTGATTAAGGATCCAATGAGAGGGGGAAAAGATCAGATGTTTGAAGATTTAGTTGCCATTATTCATGCTGGTGATGCAGAAGCTGAGGCCAAAGATGCAGTGGCTCCTCCAAGAAGACGCCTTGTACCAGAGTTCATGTTACAGGTGGCTCGTAGAGTCAGCCCTTTCTAACACCACCAATAAGCTTCTTGTTTATTCTTTCTACTCATTGTACATATCATTAACGCAACTTGATTATTTCTTCTTTCTGTTCAATTCCCCCCTCGTTTAAGCTCATAGTAGCTCTCAGTTGATAATAGAAGTGTTTTGACTAAGTCAATACATTAAAAGCTATCTGAAAAGCTGTTCCCCAACAAAATCTTTTTTATAAAGATTTTTTTTTTTTTGGTATTTTAGTTTGTGTATATTAGAAAAAAAAATAATTAGGATATTTTGCCATTATCTAAATTGTATAGTTGTGATCCTGTCGACGAAATAGTCTTTGGTTGTAATTTTTGTCCAAACAAAAGTAAATTTTCCTTTTTTAAAAAAACAAAAAAAGAAAACATAATTTTTTTTACATATTTTGATGTGAGAAAAAAAATATTAAAAGGAGAAAACTGTCCAATTGTGTTAATAGATAATTCAGAAATTAAAATTCGTTGGCAAGTATTCATTGCTGAGTGGGTATATTAAGTCACAAAGCGACTTTCATGTCTTTGAATAAATTCAATTGTTTGAATATTTGCAACAAATTTAAAGCCAAGAATTTAAACTTTTAGACTTTAAAAAGCTCAAGAGAATATAATTAACATAGAGAATATAATTAACATATATATATATACTATATATATAATTATATAATATTATATATTCGAATTATATATTCGAATTAATCAGGCATCCATAGTTGAATTAAATTTTTTTCGCACAAATTGGTTCACTGAGAGATAAAATACTCATAAGGAGTATTTGCTCCATTTACGAGGATCTAACTCTCTAAACCTCACCATCTAAGAAAGAAGAGTATCGAATACTTGTAAAGAGTATTTGCTTTATCCATGAGGATCAAACTCTCTCTATCTCATCACTTAAGAGAGAAGAGTATCGAATCACTAGTCCTAACGTTTTCGTGACAAATATGATTTTTTCATGAATGATAACTCATCAAAATAACTCATCAAAATTAATAATCAAAGAAACCAATAACAAAATTTATAAAAAATAAAAATAAAAATAAAATTCAAGTGGGAAGAGCTATTTACAGGGAGAATTACTTGCTCGGTTGCTTCAATAAAGAAAAATTAGAAAAATGAATGATTCAAATAAGAAAACTACGCCAAAGTTCTTTTATTAGTATATTTTTCTGTTAGTATTTATGAGATTGTGAAGAATGAAGATGAGTAGCTTGTCAACGGCAAGAGCCAAAGTTCCAGTTCTGCCGTTTTACACCATACGTGATTTATGACCTTTCTTCACGTTAGAGGAGACCAGAATTGGAACCGCTGGTTTCGGCATAAATTTATAAAACAGAACAGAAGGGTTGAATTAGAAGTCCTTAATTGCTCTTTGAACGCTTTCAGATCTTTACAAATACTCCAAAACACGTTAAAACTTACCATTGAGACGATACATCCTAGTCTATATAAAGGAATTCCTTACAAGTTATATTATAATTAAGATGGCCAAGAATAGCAAATGGGTTTTCTTTGTCCTCCTCGTCGTTTTGATTCTCAGGGTGGCACCGGTATTTTCTGCTCGTCAACTTCAAGCAGGTAATATATAGCTGTTTTGTTTCTTAAAAAATAATTAAAAATGCAACTAATGGATTGATTGTGGTGGTTGTAGGAAGTGATGATTTCATTGTCCCAAAAAGAGGATTACCATGTCTGAATATAACATCATGGGGAGAGATTCAAATTTTATGTCCAAGTATATCGCCAATGGAAGGACCTGGCTGAAAAAGAAATAAAAAAAATGTCTCTCTTCCAATAAAATAAAGTTTGAGATGGATGAAGTTGAAAATAAAGCCGTAGTGTTTTTTAGAAAGTTGCTTTTCTAGTGATGTTTTTGAAAAATGGCATTTGGATATGCAATTAAATTTAACCATCCCTAATTAATTTATTGTTTAACTAATATATGGGTTAATTTGGAGTAAATAAATAGTTTTCAAATTTATTAAAAAATTATCTCAAAATAAAAAATAAATTTGAAATTCTTTACTAGTGTTTAATCTCTGTAAGTTTAAATTTGAGAGGGAGAAAAAAAATGAACATGGATTTAATTTCTAAATTTTTATTCTATTTGAGAGTTTTAAAAAAATTAATCTTAAATAAATATCGTATAATTTTCATGTAAAAAAATATATTATAAAGTATTAAAAAGTTTAAGTAAATAAAAAACATTTAAAGGAGGAGCAATATTTTTTATTTTTTCTCTTTTTTCACTTATAATTTGTAGCTTATATTTATTTATGTTAACAAGTTTTAAGTTGACGGTGCAATTAATGCATTTAACGGTGAAAATAATATTAAATTTTAAAAATAAAAAATCTAGTGTGTTTTTTTTATTTTTTTTAACTATTTCAAATCGAAATCGCGGCTTTTAATTTTAAAGTATAAAAAACTACAACTAAATTTTAAATATTCAATATTGGCTACATTTTATGACTTTTGAACAGTTTATTATAATTTAATTCTAATTTTAATTGATTCAATTTCAATTCATCGGTTTAAAACCGATTCGTGCCTATAGAAAATACAAAGGTTTTTTCTTTACTATTTATGAGATAGTGAAAGAAGTAAATTCCTCGTTACATGTATTGTCTACATCAATAGCAGCGGTCAGAACTGACTTGTCAACAGCAAGACTTCCAATTTTCCTTGGAAATAATTTCTAACGTGTTAGAAAATATATGATTTGTGACCTTTCAACGCGTTTTTGTTCGAAAACGTGTAATTAAAAATGAAATGGGATCACGTGTATTTTTTCTCGTTTAATTAGAGATTTTAAATTTAAATTATATATATATAATTTCTTTAAATATTTTAGAGAGGATATTTTATACTCTGTATGAACATGTCCGGCGTAAATTCGAATTAATCACAATAGGCTCCAAACACTGAATGATTAAAAAAAAAAAAATTTACTTGCCAAATTAAAATTTATATCAATCAATATATTTAAACAATGTTAGAGGTATCACATCACGTAATAATTTAATAAATATGTCTAGAATAAAAATTTAAAAAATCTTGTTATAATTAATAAATAAATTGAATTAAAGTCGAGATATACAATTAGACACGTCACTGTACTTACTACAGAGAAGATAGCTCCATTCATATATTCATATAAAGGGATAGGCCTTTCCAATTACTTACAAGTTATATAATAAGATGGCCAAGAGTCTTCGAAATGTTTTCTCTGTCTTCTTTATCCTCCTCGTCGTTTTGCTTCTCGGGATGACACCGCTGTTATCTGCTCGTCAACTTCTACGAGGTAATGATATTTTTTGTAAATAGATACATACGGTAATATTTTTAATTTAATTTAATCAATCACAAATTACAAAAATTAAATCTCTTTTTATTTCACAAAATATTTTTTTAAGATATTGTTGGCAATTTAATGGAAAATCTTTTACAAATTAAGGAAATTGAAGATAGCTTTTTTAGGAGCCAAATTAAAATTATATATTCATTAAAATATTATAAAACTTTGTATAAAATAAATTGTAATACGTTTGTTTGTGACAATTTGAGCCATTTGCTCGCTTTCAATTGTAATTAATGATGAAATTGCAAATAAAAAAGTATTTTCATTCTTTATTTAATAACGATAAAATAAATTTTCTCAAAATAAAAGATAAAATAAAATTTAAATATCAAATTATATTTATAATTTAGTTGGTAGCACATTTATAGATTCAGAAACATAATATTTGACGCATGTGCAATTAAAATAATTAAGAAATCACTTATTTATTTAAAAAAAAAGAATAATTTCACTATATTATCGATTCAAAAATTACTACAATTACAATTTTTAATCCTTCAAATATTTTTTTAAAATATTGTTGGCAATTTAATGGAAAATCTTTTTCAAATTAAGGAAATTGAAGATAGCTTTTTTAGGAGCCAAATTAAAATTATAAATTCATTAAAATATTATAAAACTTTGTATAAAATAAATTGTAATAGGTATTTCGTGATAATTTGGGCCATTTGCTAAATTTTAAACTTTGTAGCATAACGCTTTCAATTGTAATTAATGATGAAATTGTAAATAAAAAAGTATTTGCATTCTTTATTTAATAAAGATAAAATAAATTTTCTAAAGAAAAAAGATAAAATAAAATTTAAATATCATTTGAATAGCAAATTATATTTATATTTAATTAGTAGCACATTTATAGATTTAGAAATATGATATCTAAGACATGTGCAATTAAAATAATTAAGAAATTACTTATTTATTTTTATTAAATGAATAATTTCACTATATTATCAATTCAAAAATTACTACAATTAGGATTTTTAATCCTTAAAACATAGATAAATATAAAACTTTTCTATGCCATGCTTGCGATTTTTTATTATGTAACAAAAATTATATTATAAAATTGTTAATTACCACATTTATTTCATAAAATAAAATTTTATTTGTGCAACATTATTTACTTAGACCGGTGAAATTTTTTGAAATTTTTATTTTTTCTAAATTTTTTTTAGAGTTACATGATGATTTAAAAATGATGAAAATACTTTTTTTGTTGTAATCTCATCCTTAATTTTCAGTTAGACCATTATTATTATAAAAGGTTGAAATTATGTCAATCTTTGATTGTTCTGTTAGAATAGACCCATTTTTTACAAAAAATAAACCTTTTTTTTTTTTTTTTTAAAAAATAAACCTTTTTTTTTTTTTTTTTGCAATTTTGGTGACTTAAATTTACTTCAAGTCATCTTAGAAAATCCCTTTATGTTATTGTCACTTCAAAAATGAAATTAATTATGATAATAGTTGCAGGGTCTCCTCGCGGGTCGGGAGCGCGTGGGAGTGATCCAAGTCCTGGAGGACCAGGGAGGCACTGATAATCCAGTGCATCCCATCGGAGGATTAAAAGTTAAGACAGAAGCCCAATATATTATGCAAACGACTAGTAGTATTATATACATATCCAACTCAATTATAGTTCTTTTCTTTTTTTTTTATTTGAATATGTTATGTATGTAACTCTGGTTGTGAATAAGTTGTGGAATTAATAATAATTTAAGTTTTTAAAAAATGAAAATTTTGTTGAAAATTAAGAACTTGGGGTTGTCATCGATAAGGACAATTATCTACCACAAGCTATTTATAATTGGGAATTCAAAATCTCAAAGGGTCATGCAAATTGCAGGAAGCTACTTAATTTCAATCCTACGTATATAAAACATGCCTAATAATACTGATCACAAGGTTTTCATTTCCATCTTTATGATCTTCACCATCATCTTTCTTCTGATGGTGTCGCCAATCTCCGCTGATCGGCTTCTCGAAGTATGTATTTAATTCAATACTCCTTTTATAATTATTATTAATAGTAAAGAAAAAAAATTCTGAATTCTAATTTTTGATATACGATAAAGATCAACTTTCACGTGTGATAATCTAAATTTATCATCATTAATTCACGATTGAGATTATTTTAATTGATGCAATTTGAAAAATTTTCAACGACTTTATAAAATTTTTTTACTTGATTGAAATTGATAAATTATATCGAAACTTTAATTTTATTATTTTGAAATAAAGATCTTTTTTTATTAATAATCAGATTTAAGCTATTTAAATTTTCTTAAAAAAATATTATTTAATTTATGAATTTTGTTTTCGAATTAAAACATGAAGTATAAAATTCTAAAATAAATAGGATAAAAATCTAAGAAAATTTCATAAAATTCATGGATTTTACATTTTCTCAGTCTAAAGCACCTGTTTGAATTTTTTTTTTTCTAAAGCACCTGTTTGAATTTTTTTTTTAATGAAATTAATTACTGATATTTGTAGACTGCATGATAAGTGCGTGCGGCGGTGGATCACCGCCAGGAGGACCAGGGAGGCGCAGATAATGCAATCCATATACGAATGCCATTAACTATAGTTTGTCTTTTGTGGCATAAATTTAACTATAGTTTATTTTATTTTCCGGCTTTTACCAGTGCCCAACTCTTTATTAATAACAGCTGTAAATTTGTGGTAACAAATTATATCAAGGACTGTATGTTGGTACTCTTTTCTTGATTAGCTAATCTTTTTTCTTTGGTCTTTAATAATAATTTTACTGTATTATTATGTCTTTTTAACTTCAGAAATTAGTCTTTGAAATTATTTGTTGACAGCTTCTAATAAAAACTCTATAAATAAGAGAAATAATAATATGATATACATGAAACATTCAACTTGCAAAACCATTTAATTAAAGAATTCAACTTGTAAAATTATATTAATTAACACATTTTAAATAGCTGAAAAATGTGAAAATTATTGTTCTAAAAATTATGCTAACTATATATTAATTTATATTTTGCATATAAAAACTAAAACCCTAAAAATTATTGTTGTTAGTATGGAAATATGTACAATATCATCAAAAATTGCAAGTTAAAAAAAGACAATAGGTTATCACAAAGATTAGGATATTATTAGATTAAAATTACAAAATTCAGACCTATAGGTTATAACTCAGTTGGCAATGCAGGTTGGACATGTGGAAAGAGCTCTTGGTTCAATCCCCACTAAACGCACCTGCAGGGAGAGGCGAGGAGTGTTAACTATAATTAAGCTCCTAACCGGATTAGGCGGTCCCTGGTAATGAGATCCGAATACTAGTTTGAATACTAGTTTACACTAAAAAAAATTATTAAATTCATGGGTGAATTTATGCATTCAGTCTATTTACATGGAGGTTGAACTTTATAATTGAATTGATAAAATTGAAAAGATAAGGCATTTTCATTATGAAAGTCTTAATATCTATAAATAATTTTTTCTATAAAATATTTTCATTGAATAAATAAAAATATTTAAATAACATAAAAAATTATATTAAAAAATTATATTATGTTTTAATATATCATTATTTTATTATAATAAATATATTATATCCTTGATTTAAGAAATTTTTTACAAAAGTGATAAAATTTTATATTTTATTATTAAATAATCAGTAAAAATTCAAAATTTTTAATAAAAATTTTCTTAAATTTATCTTTTAATATTTTATTTTTAATTATGAAGTCATGAATAATGTTTTCTGTGAAGTTTTAAAATTAAAATGTTATAGTAAAAAATTTTAATTTTTATTGTTTTACCAAGTAATCGCCGATTTTCCATTTTCTATTTTTAATTTTCATTTCTAAGAAACTGTTTGTAATAAAAAAAGAAAACTTAAACTTTCTATAAAGTAAAATACACCACAATTTATTTTCTGAAGGACTAAGTTAGTTGTGATTCTGAGGTTAGTTGTGAAGAGTAGTATAAGTAGTTGAACACCAAGATGAATATTGTGAGATTTGTCTTTGTCTATTAAAGAGATAGATTTGTTTTTTGTATTTAGAGAATGTATATCTTTAGAATATCTGATATACTTGATTTGTGTAATCCTCCTTCTTTTACGTTGTTTATCTCCTATAGTTTAGGAACTGATGTATTATATATTAGAGAGGTCATTCCTTGTAACAGAAAGTTGATATAGAATGAAATTCTGAAATTTGACTTGGTATCAGAGCGGAGGAATTGTCTATGAAATTGTCAAATCTGTAACAATGACGGATGCCTCTAAATCAACTCCTGCTCTGGTGGTTGTTCAATCTGAAGGTGTTTTTAATGTAGGTATAACATTAGATGAATCTAATTATGATGTATGGTCACAACTAATGGAAATGCACATCGCTGAACGAGAGAAACTCTCGTTTATTAGAGGGAAGAAGGATCCACCGTTAGAGGAAGATCCAGAATATGAAGCATGGTATGGTGCAAATCAAATCAAAAGGTCAAGAGATGGCTCTTGATGTCTATGAAACCAGAAATCATGAAGAGATATCTCAGGTTACCTACAGCTCGAGGAATATGGGAAGCGTTGTCTAAAGCCTTCTATGATGGAAGTGATGAACTGCAAGTATTTGCTTTGAATCAAAGGGCCTTTGCAGCAAGACAGAGAAGTCGACCCCTAACAGAATACTATGGTGAACTGATTGAGATCTTTAGGGAATTGGACCATCGTGACAAGATTGTTATGAAGGACCCTGGAGATGTGGAGTTGTATGACAAGTCTACTGAAAGGCTGAGAGTACATATCTTCTTAGCTGGATTAGATGATGATCTAGAACAAGTCCGAGGAGAAATTCTAAGAAAGGATATTGTACCTGACTTGGAAGATGCTTTGATCAGAGGAACTTTTACGTGTAAAACTCTCAAAAACAGAGACATAACGATTGATCTACTGTCCTTAGATAGCAAAAAAGAACCGCACAAACAATTCAGGGGCTCCAAAACAGATAATTACACATGTACTCAGTGTAATAATCCCGGCCACACAAAAGAACGTTGCTTTGAGATTATTAGGGATCCTGAATTGTTGGGGATCACAACAAAGCACCTAGGAGAAGTCTAAGCACCCCCTGCGCTGGCTGCTTACTACTGCTGATGAAAAGCGAAAGCATGGCACAACCACAGGAGTGATGATCCAAAGGTGGTAAGGCTTGCACTTAAAAACTTTGAAATAGTACATGGATAATTGTTCTGCTTGCACTTGATCATGTACATGATGCTAGACAAATTAAGAAATCTTAAACACTCATCTTTTCCAAATAATCCACTGCAGGATGGCAGAGAATCCTCTATCATTTGGCAAGGAACTGTTACTCTTCCACATGATTAAAATCTTTGATACTGTTTCTTGTTGTTCCATCCTGAAAATTACAATCTTTATCTGTCTCCAAATACCAAAAGCTCTTATTATAGCTTTATTATGTGTTGTGATTTTTTGGCCTGACTCTTGTGTGTTTAAGGATATTCGAACAAGGAGGACGATTGGGTGTGGTATTAGACAAGGAAGACTATATTATTTGGATCTGAACAAAAAGGACTCAGACAGATTGGGGAGATCTTTAGCAGTTGATTCAAATAATGAAGGAGATATTCAGTTGTGGCATCGACGTCTAGGACATTTATCATTAGTTATCTTAAAAGGTTGTTTTCAGATCGTTTTTTAGACATAAACATTTCATCTTTGTATTGTGATGTTTGTGAACTTGCAAAGAGTCATAGAACATCGTTTCCTTCAAATTCAAATAAAAGTCCATTGCCTTTTATGATTATTCATTCAGATGTATGGGGTCCGTCTAAAATTTCAACTTTAGGAGGATCACAGTGGTTTGTTACATTTATTGATGATTGTACGAGATGACCTGGCTTTGCATGATAAATCAGAGTGACAGTTCTGCAATGTTATTTAAAACATTTGCCAAATGATTGAAACCAGTATTAAAGAAAGGTTCATTTGAGAATTGAGAAGTGATAATGGAGGAGAATACATGTAGTCAGAACTTCAATCTTTTTTAGCGGATCGAGGAATTATTCACCAACGCACCTGCCCTAATACTCCATAGCAGAATGGAGTAGCAGAACGAAAAAATCGTCATTTGTTAGAAGTAGTCAGGGCTGCTCTAATTGAAGCTCAAATGCCGGCATGTTATTGGGGTGAAGCGCTTTCATATGCGGTCTACTGTATCAATCGGAGTCCCTCCAAGACCCTTGAATATAGCACACCAATTAAATGTCTGATGGATACTGTAGTAAGTCCTAAAATTGCAGATTTAACTCCTCGGGTGTTTGGATGTGTAGCCTATGTTCATTTGTCTAAAAGGGAACGGAGTAAACTAGCACCGCGAGCTGAGAAATGTGTGTTTCTTGGCTATCCTCCTCATCAAAAGGGATATCGATGCTATAATCCTCAAACAAGTAGGATGTTTGTTACTATGGATGTTGTATTCCATGAAAATGTTATGTTTTTCAGACAAGAGCCTGAAATTCAGGGGAAGTGCCATGATGAAGTTCAAACTCTTGTATATGATGAAAGTGAAAGTAACAGTAAAAGCAAATCAATTTTTCTTGTACCTAATCACACGGAAGAAGAAGTGCTTGAACCAGATCATACGGAAGAAATGCTTGAATCGAATCCCACGTCCCACGGACGAAGTGGAGCATGAGCCAGATCATTCAGAAGAAGTGCTTGAACCGAAT